CACTATGAGTTAGAACCAACTTGACGGCCCTTAACAACATATGCATGGGAAAGTTGGACAATGAATAAGGAAAACTATAGAAGAATTGGTGCATTTGAGTTATGGTGTTGGAGGAGAATAATGAAAGTGCCATGGACTGCCAGAAGAATAAATAAATCTTGTGTTGGAGGTACAACCAGAATGCTCCTTAGAAGTCAAGATGGCCAGACTTTAGCTCTCAGATTTTGGACCTATTACCAGGAGGGACCAGTCCCTGGAGAAGGACATCATGCTTGGTAAAATGAAGGGTCAGTGAAGAAAAGGAAGACAGACCCCTCCCCACCATGAGATGGAACAACACAGTGGCAGCAGGAATAGACTGAAGCGTGACAACAATTGTGAGTTTTGCAAAGGACCGGGCTGTGTTTCATTCTGTTGTGCATAAGGTTGATGTGAATCACAACCGGCTTGATGACACCTAACAACAACAACAACATACTGTTATTATTATTGCAGGATTGTGTCTGCAATAGTATTTGCCTCTGTTGCCTTTGACTCATATTTCTCCGGTGTCTTCCTTGGTGGTGGTTGAGTGGTGCTGACCTTACTCAGTGGGTATTGTCTTCCTCTTCACCCAGGTGAGTCTGCGTCTTGTTTTGTTGTTGAGTATCATGGAGTTGGTTCCGATTCATAGTGACCCTGCACAGGGTTTCTGAGACTGCAAATCTTTACAGGAGCAGAAAGCCTCATCTTTCTTCTGCGGAACAGCTGGTAGTTTCAAACTACCGACGTTGAGGTTAGCAGCCTGATTCATAACCACTATGCTGTCTGTGTCTAGTGAGTGAGTTATCCCCACCTTTCAGAAAAATGTTTAAGTCTTATTTAAAAATTTTTTTAAATTTTTTTAAAGGAGAGGAAGGAAGGAAGAGAGCGTGTGAGAAGAAAGGCCAGAGGAGGAAGCTGGTCCAGTTGGTTCCTGGGCATGGTGATGAGGCCCTTTCATGTGGGAGCCACTCCTTGTCCTCCCGCGAATTTTCTTCCTTCTGAAGTTATTCAGAATCCGTGTCTCTCGTGGGCCACCAGAGCCCAGCCGAGGCCAAGATGCACTGAAGTGCCTGAGTTTGTCGTGTCCAGAACACACCATTTGTCATTGCAGTTTGTCAGCTTGTTTGTCGCAGGATTCAGAGAGGTGGAGGATTCATGGGGAGTGTGCCTATGCTCCCCCCCCCCCCCCCCCCCCAGTAATGTGGAGGGTCAGCGGGGAAGAGGATACTCCCTGGAATGGGCTGAGACTGGGCCTGTAGCCATGGGCTTCAACATGACAGGGACTGTGGGGATGGCCAGGGCCAGGCAGCATCTCACTGTGGAGCGTGAGTCAGAACTGACTGGACGTCCTCACCGCCACCACCCTCAGCAATCTCTGCTTAGCACGTCACACCTGTCTTCTGTGAGACTGCCGGCTGGAATGAAAGCTCTGAAAGCGCCCATGTTTACGTTAGGCCTTCTTCTAGTTAAGTCAGACGTTACTGTTGTCTGGGGCCAATCGCGATCCTCACAACTAAGGGTCAAGCCTGTGTTCCAGGACTTGGAAAGAGGAGGAGGAAAGGGTTGCGTGCACCTCGTTCCCAGAATTGCCCAAATTCTCCCACACCCATGCCGCACTGGTCAATCCCAGCTTCAAGGAGCTTGGGAGGTGTGGTGCTGGGTGAGAACCCGGATGAGTGTGGTTGTTGTGGGCGCCAGGCAGTCTAGGCCTCTCAGTCTGAACTGAATCGGTGCCATTCCACCCCCCCCCCCCCGTGGGGAGGCGTGGCCCCTTACAGGTGAGGGGGAGGAGAGGCAGCTGCTTCTAGCTCTCAATGGGACAAGGTGGTGGGGGGTGGTCACCTACAGGTAGATCAGGTGCCTGTCTGGCAGTCTGAGGTGTAAGGGGCAAGCTCAGGAGGGCCACCATGTGGGGTACACCGGTGATCCAGTTCTGCAGTCACGTGGGAGGCGGCCCTGAGGGCCTCACTTAGCTGCTGTACTTTGTTATCTGACATTAGCTGTGAAGGGTGGAAGGGGCTCTGGTTGTGCAGTGAGGTGAGTGTCGAGCTAACGGAAAGGCTGATGGTTCAAACCCACCATCCACTCTGAGGAAGATGAGGCTATTTGCTCCTGTAAAGATGTGGAGTCTCAGAAACCCAACATCAGGTCGCCATGGGTTTGGTCTTCAGCACCACAGTACCCCTCCTCCTGGGCAGTGCACCTCGTCTGAGGAACACACCTATGGAGGGGGCCACTAGTAGGGTCCGTACCAGGTGGAGGGTGCCCAGCAGCCTGACTGAGACACTGATTGTGGGTGAAAAGCTCCGGGTTCAGACCGGGACCCTCTGCCCTCACCTCTGGGTTCCTGCTCGGAGGTTTAGAGGTGTCCAAGGGGACAGTTCAGGCGCAGTAGGGCTATAAGCTCACTTGTAGACAGTGAAGCTTCACTAACTTCAGAGATCACAGGGCAGTGAATGAGACAATGGGCATGGGGAGGTGGGGGGACACAAAGGGCCACCCCCTTTTCCCCACTCGTCAGTCATTTCAGTCCATCCTGCCAGGCCCGGCTTTGCAGATGTGTAAGAGTCGGTCCCCTTATCTCATAATCACCTGTCCATAGGGCTCTGTCTTCCTGGGGCCTGGAGGACAGTGAAGGCGTGGTGGGAGAGGTCAGTAAGGGTTCCCTCCACCTGGCAGGCCTGGCCAGAGGGTGCGGGGAGAGTAGGGCCATGCAGGTCTGTGTCTGAGGTTGAGTCAGGATGAGGGCGGTGAAAGCGGACAGACATGCCCAGCTCTATCCTCACCTGTCCAGTCCTAACCCCCTGGGACAGTGAACCTTTGCCCTCACAGGGCAAAGGAGACCACAGATGGGGTGTATCCGATGGGAAGTGGACATGACAGGGACCCCGTCATCACAGGGTCCTTATGAGGACAGGAGGTGCCAACATGGAAGCCGTGGTGTGCTGTTTGCATGGAGGAGGAGCCGAGAGCCACAGTCCCTGGGAACAGCCTACCAGCTGGATGAATGCCCAGGTGGGAGGGTCTGTTCCATGCTCCTTAGGCCAAGTGGGGAGTCCCTGGGGAGTGCCTGAGGGAACGGACCACCACAGAAGCCGAGGAGTCCGTGGAAGGCCCAGCATACATCAGCAGGAAATCACATGTGAGTGGGCCGCCTGCCCAAGCTCGACAGACATGCAGGCTGACATTTAGGAGACAAACCTGCTGACGTCTAATCTTCCGCAGCTCATCTGCTAAATGCCACTTCCTTATCACAGGAATGCATTCTCCACATCTTGCCAATCTTCATCTCAACTATGCCAACTATGCTGTGACTGCCCTACCGCCACATTATCTCCTGGGGGAGGAGAAAGACAGAGGGAGACAACAGAGAGGAGAAGCAGGTAGGGACAGACCAGGGAGGGGGGGGACGGGACAGAGAATGAAAGGGAGAGAATTCCCTTGGGAGGATTTGTCCTGTGTGCACGGTGAGGACTTGTCCTGACTCATTGGGCCCCACATACGGACCAAAGCACCTCCCAGCCCTGCCCTGTGCTCAGTGTCACGTTGGAGGCCATTGATGCCTATCATTTCACTGAGCGTCTTCCTGTTTCGTAGACCTTCCACTTTACCACGTGTGACATCCTTCTCCAGGGACGGTCCCTTCTGAAACATGTCCACAGTACCTTGAGACGAAGTCTCACCTTCCTCGGTTCTAAGGCACTCCTGGGCTCTACTTACTTCAAGGCTGACGTGCGTGTCCTTCCTGCAGTCCATGGTCACTTAACCTCCATTCAGGAAGAAGGGCTGTCCTGTGTGCAAGCTGAGAACCTAGCAGGTGACTCTCAAGCTCCCAGGTGATTGGGTGGGTCCCTTACAGGAGGGAGAGGCTGAACACTCAGGGCGGTCAGCTGGGGCTGAGTGTGCCGTTACAGAGGATCCCTTTAATTCTTGGTGTGCCAGTGAGGTTGCGAGATTTATTCGTTTAGTTTGTAACAACAGAACCCTGCTCCAGGCAGTGACAAGGAGCACCGTTGTTCCTGGGCACCCCTCCTTCCAGTCCTCTGCAGCGCCAAGGTCTGGGGGGCTTCCGTGGGGACAGGAGCACAATAAAGCCAGTGACCTGAGCTTCATTCCTGTGCAGACCTCTGGGTCCAGAGAGGGACCCATGAGGGTTTGGGGTCCACTCCTTCACAGAGGGACTTAGCTGGGGCCTGGGGGGAGGGGGAAGGGTGGCGTGTCTATTTGGTTAATTGGTGTCTGTCTTGTAGGGAGGGCCGTGGATGCCGGGTGGTGGTCAGAGACCCACTGAATGCTAAGTGGTGACATTGCTGCCTTCCTGAGCGGCGGGGGGCAGACACCCTGTAGGCTCAGCCTGAGCGGTAATGCCCCCTGGAGGCGGCCACACTCAGGACCCGGCCATCCTGCAGGGCCTCCCCTTGTGGATGCTGTTGAGGGTGTCGTCCACACTCTCATAGTGAAGGTGAGACCACGAGGTCACTGCAACAGTGGCCGCTACACATGGCACAGCAAACGAGGGTCCAAGGCCTTGGGTCAGAACCCACCTGGTGTGTGCAACATCAAGGAGCAAACCACCAAGACGGGTGGGCAGCTACCTGGAATGGGGTGTGTGTGTATGTATGGGGGGGGGGGGGTCCTTGCATGTCTCCTGGTGCCGTCCTAAGGGCAGAAGTCGGAGGGCCTTGGCAGTCACAGAGACGCAGACCCCCACCACAGCAACATCTACTGAACCCAGACAGGGGGCCTCCGGAACACATGCCCACAAAGAGGACAGGCCTGGGCTGGCTGAGTAGCTGCTGCCCTTGGACCTCACAGATCCCAGACAGGACCCTTCCTGCCATCTGCCCCCACCAGGTGCAAAGCTCCAACCTGGGCATGGACAGGGCATTCACGAGTCCCCCTGCTCCTTCCCAGAGACGCCCCTCACCAGACACGATCTTAGAAAACCATTTATTGGGGAGGGGACAGGATGGGGGTCAGCTGAGTGAGAAGTAGTGAGCACACAAGTCCTCCCGCCGGCCCAGCAGGCCTGAGGCGGGGATGAATTCCAGAGGCACGGGTTCTGGAACCTTCTTCTTCAAGTCCTGCTCAAAGACCTGGAGGGCAGACGGTTGGCTCTCAGGGCGTCCCCTGAAGTGCCCCCCGCACCCTTCAATCCACACCCCTGCCCCCTACCTCGTAGGGCGTGAGCTCCAAGAGTGGTGCGATGCTGACCTCGGGGACGCACAGGGTCTGGTTGATGGCGCTGGCTGCCTTGGACACATCAGGGTGGTAGTGCTTCTGCAGAGCCTGGGGTGGGGAGAGGCCCTCACAGCACGTGTGGTCACATGTGGTGACGTGTGGACAAGGACAATGGGAAGCGAGGCCTAACCTGTAGCTCCCACAGTGAGCTCTCCAGGGCACGGCTCTTGGCAGGGTCCTGCTCTCCAGGGTCGTAGGGGTCTGTGTCCAGCTCTGGGGATGAGTTGAGACCTGTCTGCATCACCACCCAGTCCCCTTGGTCCTCGGTACCACCCTCACAGCCCCTCACTCACCAGGGCCCTGGGGCCGGTGTATGAGGACACGGCAGGCGGGGTGCCGGCGCAGCAGGTTGCAGATGAAGGGAAGGACCATGAGAAGGGCTTCGGGGGGCGCGGTGAGCGCCAGGCGGGACAGGCGTTTGGCAAAGGCGGCCACCAGGTAGGCGGGCAGGTGGCTGGGGGGTGGGAAGGTGTAAGGGCCGTGAGCCTGCACCCCTACTCTATTCCAGCCCAGGGCTGTGGTGGGAACAGGCACTCAAGGGTAGGTAGGTGCCCCTCTGTGGACCCCACCTATCCCTGAAGGTCAACCTGCCCGGGCTCCCAGGCCAGTGCTCACGAGGACGACAGGAACAGGTCAGCCAGGTAGAAGAAGCGGGCTCGGTATCTGACGTGGAAGATGGAGGCTTCCAGGAGGTTGTAGAGCTTCTGGTAGAAGTCAGGGTACTCCCTGGGGATGGGGTATCGTGAGGAGGCTAGCCCAGGGGACCCCTGAGCCCCCCTACTCACTACCACGGCCCCACCCTTCTTCCCGACCCCATGTTTCCAAAGGCTACAGGTTGGGGGCGGGGGCCAGGGCCAGGAGCCTGCAGCCCCCCCACTCACAGGTTGTGTTTGTGGATCAGGATGAAGAGTCCATTCAGGGCCAAGAGGCTGATGGCTCCGCCTGCAGAGAAGTGGGCGTGACTCTTGATGCCCCTCCCCTGAGTGGGCGGAGTCCCAGGGTGAGCCCAGCCCCTCACCGACATCATAGGCGCTGGTAAGGAAGTCCATCATGAGTGTGGGCTGGGCCAGCTGGGGCAGGATGGACTCGTGCATGATGACCAGCACCTTCTTGTAAAGGCTGACAGGCAGCTGGGGGCAGAGATGGGTCTGAGCCCAGACTCAGGGCACCTGTCTCCCTCAGCCCTTAGCTCACCTGCAGGGTCTACCTTGTGCTGTAGGAAACGGAGCCACATGAGCTGGAAGGCTTTCCTGTGTTCCTGCGGGGGGAGCGGAAGTGTGGACACGTGCCCTCAGTGGGCCCCTCACAGCCAGCAAGGTCCCTGCCTCCCACCCAAACTCAGTGTGCTTGGCAGCCCAAGACTTGGGGGTGCTGCCTCATGCCTTCCAGGCTCCACACCGGGAAAAAGCTCACCTTCAAATTCACTGCCTTCCACTTGTCTGATGGCTCTGCAAGGAGGGCTCCGGCTGAGAAATGGGGGGCCCTGGGTACAATCCCCGCCCCCGCTGCTCCCTGAGAGGGGGGACCCAGGATAACCTTACCTCCCCCTGCTCCCTGGGATGGGGACCTAGAAAAAACACACACACACACACACACACACACACACCCCACCCCCACCCCGCTCCCTGGGATGGGGACCTAGAATACACACACAACACCCCCACTTCCCCCTGCTCCCAGGGAGGGGTACCCAGAGCAGGCCAGGCCGCTCACCTGTGTGCTTCACATAGAGGCTTGGCGTAGTGCCCTCCTGACGAGGCAGGCTGACGGCAGACAGCAGAGTGAAAGCGTTGTTCCAGAAGGGGAGAGGCACCTGCAGTAGCCTGCTTCAGCACCTGGAGCCGGCCCACCCACCAGCCCCTCCCATCCACAAGACGCTGGGCAGCTGACCTCTGCTCGTCCATCAGTGACCCTGGCCACGGTCCCAGCAGCTGCCTTCATCGTGTGGTAGCGAATGTCATCGTACTCCAGGTAGCCTTGGAACTGCGAGAGGAGCAGGGCACGGTCCTCCTCCAGGGACAGCAGGCTCTCCACCACCAGCTGGGGGGCAGCAATCAGTGAGCCCCGTGGGCAGTGGGGGGAGAGGACCAGCAGGTAGCCCACCCCAGGGCAGTAGTCAGCAGTGCCATACACGGCACCCCTCACCTTGAAGAGCTCGAAGGGAAACAGATAGTGGCCCTCCCACTTGGGTTTCTCCAGGGGATGGGAGCCTTCCAGCTGCACAAACTTCATAAGGGTACCAAGAGCCAGCTCCTGGGGGAAGAGGGGAGAAAGGGAGCAGTGTGGCCAAGATGACCCCAACACATGCCTCCAGAGACCAGGTCCAAAGGTCACCTGGCCAGGAAGCCTCTCATGGGACGACACAGAGAGAGCCAGCACAGCACAGACCACTGGCGGAAAATGAGAGCAGGGCCTGTCAGCGGTGCCTGGACTCCGTGTCCATGACAAGGTCAGCTCCTACAGCCAGCACACACACTACACGCTGTGCTGAGATCATGGCCGCTGGAGGCCAGAGCCTCAGAATGGCTGTGCAAACATGGATGTGAGACGCCACTGCAGCGTGTGGCAGAGAGCAGGGGCCCAGCAGACAGTGGCCACCGAACCTGCAGGTCCAGGGCTGAGAGCTGTCCACCTTCACAGCCCAGGCACAGGGGCATCGCTAAGTATAAAAGCCATGTGTGAGATAGCAAGGAGTTGGGGGGGAGTGTGGCAAACTGGACACAATGTGCCAACTAAAGGCCTTCTTGCTCCTTCCTGTAGATGACAACTGCCAGCCCCAAACGTGGCCCAGCACAGTCGGCAGGGTTTTCTGCGTGAGAAGCTAGAACCAGGATGTCCATGGGACAGCTCCCAACACTAAAGAGTCGGTGACTTGACTACAATCAAAGACGACCGAGTATTAATAAAGTGGGTGGGCTGTCGGCGTGTGGGCTCCATTATGTAAGGACTGCTCGCCAGCCTGTCCTCTCGCTGCACAGCTGCACTGTGGCAGGCACGGTGGTGAGCAGCGTGCCGTGGCTTGGCTGGGGAGGACGTGGCAGTGACCAGGGCTCTGAGTCACCTGCCCCAGGACAGACTTAGCCCCTGTGAATGGCTTATCAGCTGTGATACAGGCCCTTCCCCAGACATGGACCAACACCCACCCGGTAGCCACCACACTTCTGCATTTATGCCCACATGTGATACACCACCCAAAGGGAAGAGTGTGTCCTCTCTCCACAGCGCCCCAACACTCACCTGGACCTGGAAGGAGGGGTGAGCCAGGAGCTCGCTTAGGCGATTGCAGCAGCTCTGGTATCGGTGCCGCATCCACACCTTGTACTTGCGAGTGGCTCCCTGGGACCCTGTAGGCAGGGCTTCTGGTTAGCTGTACAGGCCCACCCAGGTGAACCCATCCTAACCCTCTTAACACCCATGGGACCCTCTACAAGCTCAGGCCGACACACAGGGAGAGCTATGCCAATGCTAAGTGACCCAAGGCAGACCTCCCCACCCTTTACTGCATTCCATGACCTGGGGTCCTCAGGGCCGGGGCTGGGGGTGTGGTCCCAATGTGGAACAGCAAACACGTGGGAAGGATGGGCCTTCCAAACGTTCGCTGGAGCCTGGTGGCGCAGTGGTGAAGCGCCCCGGGCAGTGTTTGGTTTTCGGCTTTTCCGGAACTGTGTTGACATTACCTCCCCACACCCTCCCAAGGCCCCCCGGCAGGATAGGCTCCTTCCCAAGTGGTCTTGGATTGCGTTCCCGCCGAGTCGCAGCCGGAGCTTTGAACAACAGCCTTCCCCCGCCCCCTGGGTGAGCAGAGACCCCCTTCGGGGGCTCACCTGTCATGACGGCCTCCTCGGGGGGCAACCGGCCCACAAACAGCTCTCCCCGCTCCAGCAACGCCCCGAACAGGCGGCTGCATATGCGGACAGCTTCCTGGATCTCCGCCGGGTCCTCGGACTGCGGGGAGACCAGGCCGTGAGCGCCCGCCGCTCCGCCAACCCCCAGGAAGGCCCCAGCCTCAGGCCCGTGCCAGTCCGAAACGTCACCTGCAGCGCGGCCAGGATGTCGAACACGGCATTGGCCTCGGCGCGGCTCGCCAGCACCGCCTCCAGCAGGCGGCCCAGCGCCCGGCCCCGGCCCGCGGCCACCCGATCCGGATCCATGCCGCAGCCGCCCCACGCGGACCCGGCAAACTCCGGCGCGCGTGTGACGTCACGCCCGTGACGTCGGTATGGCGCGCCCGCCCGCACGTCACAGCGGCGCCGGACTCGGGCTCGTGCGGACTCCTGGTCATGGCGCTCTTTCACGTTGCGAGGTACCCCGGGCCAGAAGCGGCGGGCCCGGCGGAGTCCGAGGCGGGCGGCAGGGCCCGTGCACTGCTGGAGCGGCTGCAGAGCCGGGCCCGAGAACGGCAGCAGCGAAGGGAGTCGGCGCCGCCGGAGGCGACCGCAGAGGCGACGGGAAAGCGGCGGCGACGACCGCGGCGGCGGCGACCCGGGAGCAGTCCGGCACCGGGCAGCCCGGACGCTCCGCGGAAGAAACGGCAGAAAGCGACGGGCGGGGACGCGGACGCAGGTGGGCGCCGGGGCCGGGCCAGGGAAGGGGCGCCGCCCGGGTCGGACCGACGAGTTGCCTCGACCCCGTCCTGCCCGGCAGAGAGTGGCGACAAGGCGCCGGGAGCCAGCTCCGAGGCGGAGTCCCCGGACGAGTCTGCGTGTTCTCCGGGCCATGCCCTGCTGCTTGGGGGCTTCGAGATGAGGAAGGCTCCAAAGGTGAGCGACTCGGACGTGGGTCAGGGGCGCGCAGGTGGCTTCACCTGGGCCTCAGTAAACGCGCAGTAACTAAGGTAACGAGGAAGGTCTGCGCGGAGAACGGTTGGGCAGGGGGAATCGAGCCTGTTTAAAGTAAAAACAGGTGTTTTTAATGGTGGACAGGGGGGTTGCAAAACAGTGGAACACGGAGGCGCTCGGAGTGACAGGTTGATAGAGGTCCAAACCCGCAACTGGGGATCTTTTCCGTGTATTCTGATTGAGTGGTATTTCTTTACAAAGTTGTAGGTGGCAGGGTCTTGGTTGACCACGTTTGGCCGGGCTTGACATTCGTTGTGAAAAGGGGGCTTCAGGTGACAAGACATGAGTGATTGCCCCGTTTTTGAAACATGTCTAAAACCATAAGCTTTTTCTATGTACGAGGGAGGCCTTCCAAAAAGTTCTTGAAAAATTCTATGTATTTTTTAAAACTTTTTAGTCTTAACTGAAGGTTTACACAAGCAGATCATCTATTTTACATTCAACAAATCATTCCCTATATTTCATTGAAGTGATTGCAGTCCCCTCAAAGTAACATCCGGACCCACTGTCTCCCCGTGTTTCCTGTTTTCATTCCTCCTCCTTACCCCACCCTGGAGAACTTTGTCCTAAGGTAAATGCCGCCTGTTCTCGAATGGTTGACAGTTCTGTGGTGTGTGTACCTTATTAGTGTTGTTGGCCCCCCGCCTGGCTGAAAATTGAGCCACTAGGATGTAGTTCTGTAGGATAAACAATGGACTGCTAACCCCAAGGTTGGTGGTTTGAACCCACCAGCCGCCTGTCAGAAACTCTAAAGATGGTTGTTGCGAGTCAGAACCAACTCAGCAGCACTTAACGAATTCATTTCCAGAGGCCAGTCTGGGGGTTCCTTGCGTTTCTTTCTGCCCAGTATGTCTGGTGTCTTGTGTGGTTTTGAGCTGTGTTCTCTATGCCCACCCACTCTATCCGGGACCTTCTAATGTGTCCCTTTGAGAGCACTTGATAGTGGATGCTGAGCACCATCTGGTTCTTCTCTCCAGGTTGTGGAGATTCGTCCTAAGTGTCCAGTTTTCGTCACTCTCTTCTTCCGTATGGAGAGAGGCCAATAGTTACACCTACTCACCAAAGTAGGACGTAGAACACTGTTCATGGACTGTGATGCCCACCATGATATTTCCTGAAAGAACAGTGTGATCCTGAACCCCCAGACTAAGTAGCTCATCCCTTCAAGGTGATTGGTCTAAGAAGTTTAATAATTTTGCTCCCTGTATGCTCAGCCACATTCATGAATATTCTTACAGTGAAGGTAAATGTTTCTGTACAGATAGCCTCTGACATTTCTGTATTTGTGGGTATGCTCCCACACCCTCTCTGCCTGCGTGTCTATCCTTGCATCTACCCCATAGATTGTTGTTTTTGTAGGGTTGTATATATATAGTAGTATTTATCTCTCTTCCTTTTTTTTTTAAATTTTACATATAAAGCTTTTATTGTGAGTTGTTCGTTTACATGGCAGAACATCGGTTTGCACTCAATCCGTCATATTTTGTTTCACTGCGATGATTACAAGCCCCTCTGTGCACCATCAGTTAAGCGTATTTGCCTCTGCTCCTGCTTTTGTTTTGTTGGTATATACAGAAACACTCAGGAATATATAATCGTTTAAACAGCTAAAGGGCACAGTTTGCAAGCCAACCTCACGGCTACTAGCACACAACCTTTCTCTTTCCATGAGTCTAGAGTCCTCATATGTCTGCCTCCCTCTCTGGTGTTGCTGCTTCTCTGGTTAGGATCCCGTATTCCGCTCATGCTCTTCCCTCTAGGTGGTCCTTGGTCCTCTGTTCCTGGACTGGAAGATTAACGCTTTCCACGTTTTTGTTTCAGAGAGATTAGTCCCTGGTCTGGTGTGTCCATCATGTGTCCACCTAACCCTCACCCTAACCCTTTTTACTCTCTTGGTGAATTCTTTGGATGCACATTAATTTCTAATTTTTAGTGTGTCCCAGTCATCTGATTTATTCTATTTGTGTGTCGTTTGCCATGTTTTTGATAAGTCTGTGTATGTTTTATATCAGAGCCCTTAAGTTTGTCTCTGTTCTATCATTGATAATCATTATAGTTCTGGGAATTACATTTAGATCTTTAATCCATGTTGAGCTAGGTTTCACATATGGTGTAAGGTATAGGTCTTGTTTCATTCTTTTGTGAATCGATTTCCAGTTTTGCTAGCACCATTTGTTGAAGAGACTTTCTCTTCCCCGTGTAATGTATGTTGGCTCCTTGTCAAAGATCACTTGACTTTGTGGATGAACTTGCTTCTGGGCTCTCAGTTCTCTTCCTTTGATCTATGTGTCTGTCACTCATTGAACCAGTGCCAGCCTGCTGTGACCACTGTGGTCTTGTAGTAGGTTGGGAAGTCTGGAAGCAAGAGGCCTCTCACTTAGTTCATTTTTTAAGCAGTGCTTTGCTTATCTGAGGTCTCTTTCCTTCCAGATACAGTTGGTGATTTTTTTTTCCATCTCTTCAAAGAATGTTTTTGGAATCTGGATTGGGATTGCATAATACGTGTAGATTGCTTTAGGTAATACTGCCATTTTCACACTGTTAAGTTTTCCCATCCACGACCGTGGTAAATTATTCCATTTTTGTGTATGTCTTTTGGTTTCTCGTAGTACTGTTTCATAGTTTTCTTTATACAGGTATTTTGTTTCTCTGGCTAGATTTATATTCTGAATACCATTTACCATACCCATCCAAAGGATGAAGTGTTTGTTTTCCTAATTTCCTCTTCAGAGCTTTCATCATTAGTATATAGGAATCCAACTGATTGTATATATTGATCTTGTACCCTGCTACTTTGGTGAATTTTCTAATGATTTCTAGTAGTTTTTTAGTGAGTCTTTGGAATTTTCTGTGTATAGAAAATTGTTTGCAGCTTTACTTCTTCCTTGCCAATTTGGGTACTTTTCGTCTCTTTTGTGCCTTAGAGCTCCAGCTAAGCCTTCCCACACAGTGTTGAATAGAAGTGGCAATAATGGACATCCTTGGCTGGTTCCTGTTCACAAGGGGAGGGTTTTCAGTTTCTCTCTGTTCAGAGTGATGCTTGCTGTGGGTTTGTATACACGTTCTTAATTATGTTGAGGAATTCTCCTTCAATTCTTGCTTTGTTTAGTGTTTTTATCAGGAATGGGTGCTGGATTTTGTCAAATGCCTTTTCTGCATCAGTCGATACAATCATGTGTTTTTTTGTTTGTTTTTACTGTGGTGAATTCCATTGAGCATTTCTCCTATTAGTGATGTTCTTCTCTGGTTTTGGCATGAGAATGGTTACGCTGGCTTTGTAAAATGTATTAGGAAGTTTCCCCTCCCTTTTCTAGGTTCTGGAATACTTTGAGTGAAATAGATGTCAGTTCTTCTATGAATGTTTGATAAAACTCACCTGTGAAGCCATCTGAGCCTGGACTTTTTTTGGTTGGAAGTTTTTGATGACCTGATTTATTTTTCTTCCTAACCTATAGGTTTGTTCAAGTTTTCTCCTTCACTCTGTGTAAGTTTAGGTAGGTCATGTTTTTCTAAAAATGCATCCATTTCCTCTAAATTCTCAAATTTGTTGGAGTACAGTTCTTCACAGCACTCGTTTATTATCTTGTTCAATCCCTGGGTCTCTGCTGAGTTTCTTTCTGGTTGTTCTATCCTTTTTCACAAGTTGCGTATTAAAATCTCCTACTATGGAGTCCTGCCTGGTGTGGCGCTGTGGTTAATGCATGAGACTGCAGAGTCGGTGGTTCAAACTCACCAGCTGCTCCTTGTAAACTCTCTACAGGGTCGCTGTGGGTTGGAATCGACTTAGTGGCACTTAACGTCTATTATTGTAAAGGTGTCTTATTTTTTTCTACAATTGTATTAGGGTTTGCTTTTCTGGTTTGGGGCTTTTTCACAGGAAACATTATGGTTATTACCTCATACTTTTCCCTTTAACCATGGAGATCATGACCGTTGTCTCTTATGCTGATCTTATTTTGTCTGAAGTTAATATTGTCACTTCTCATTATTGCAATTAGCTTGGTACACATTTTTCTATCCTTTCGTTTTTAATGTTTCTGTCTTTCTATGTTAGGGGAGTCTCTGGTTTACTTTCTGCTGTTTGTATATATGTTTTTATATATGGGTGAAATATGGGTCATGTTTCTTCTGCAAACCGATTTCGTTTTGCTGGAAATTTTAGAAGAGACTTCTTTTCCATGTAATGTATTTTGATCGTTTGCCAAATACTACCTAAATTTTATTATGTTTCAATTCCCTTTTTCTATGAACTTTTTAAGCCACTTGTATGTATTTTAGGGTAAAAAACATTTTAGTTGGGAGGTTCTAAGCATGAACACCATGTCAGACACCCTTTCATCCTGAACATTGGTTTAATAAGGACCACTTCTTGCCACAAGTTTTACATATGTAGTACAAGGTAGTTTGTAAAGCCACCTTTTTTTGAAGAAGTCATTTGTGTCTTTATTAGGGGGCAGGTAGAGGTGTTCCAGAGGTATTGGGGGGGGGCATGTTTAGGCTGATGGGAAGGGGTGGGGTAACCATGGGGACCTCTTTCTCCCTTGTTGACAGGTCCAGCCTTTTCTGCCCACGTGGCTGGCCAGGCCGAGCCGGGTGGGCAAGAACGTCACGGAGCACCTGGTTCCCATTCAGGATCTGCCTGAGGTGCACCCTGAGCTTCAGAAAAAACTGCGGGCCCAGGGTCTCTCCTCCTACTTCCCAGGTGAGTCCACAGCCCTCCAGCACCCTGTGCCCGTGTCCCTCAGCAGCTGGTGTGGGCCACGTGAACAGGGCCACCTCACCTGTGCCCTGACCACCTTGCCCAGTCCAGGCAGCTGTGATTCCCACCCTCCTGGAGAGTGCAGCTGGGGGTTTTCTTGTGGGGAGAGGGGGCTTCCAGCCCCAAGACCTCTGCGTCTCAGCTCCAACGGGCAGCGGGAAGACCCTGGCCTTTGTCATCCCTGTGGTCCAGGTGAGTCAGCTGTCCCTCAGGCCTTGCTGATGATAGCCCTCCTCCACCTCTCCCCCGACTCTGCTGATACCACTTCCCCTCCCCCAGGCCCTGCTGCAGCGAGTGGTGTGCCGAGTCCGCGCCCTGGTTGTACTGCCCACTAAGGAGCTGGCCCAGCAGGTACGGGGGTGGGGGGCGCAGAGGCCAGTGTGGGAGCTCCTGCGGCTCTTCCTTCCCTCTGGCCGGTGACAGCCTGTGTGTTCTCCAGGTGAGCAAGGTGTTCCAGGTGTACACTGATGCCACGCCCCTGCGTGTCGCCCTGGTAACTGGGCAGAGGTCACTGTCCAGGGAGCAGGAGAGTCTCGTCCAGAGAACGTAGGTGGGGGTATAGCCATGTGATGGGCGCCTGCTGTCGGGGGGTCTGGGGGGCTCAGCAGCACTTTTGTCTGCAGAGCTGATGGCTACCGCTGCCTGGCCGACATTGTGGTGGCCACCCCTGGCCGCCTGGTGGACCACATCGACCAGACCCCTGGCTTCAGCCTACAGCAGCTGCGCTTCCTGGTATGTTGCTAACCTGCACTGGGCTCTGGCAGGAGGCTCCCTGTGTCCATCTCAGCCACCAGACCTGTTCTCACCTGCAGGTAGTGGACGAGGCAGACCGCATGGTGGATAGCATGCACCAGTCGTGGCTGCCACGGGTGATGGCCGCTGTGTTCCAGAGGGAGGAGCCCTCGGACCCTTGTGCCCTCTTTCAGCGGGAGCTGCCCAGGGCCGTGACTGCTGCCAGGTACCCTGGGCCCCTCCTGTTCTCCCTCCTCAGGGAGCCAGAGTCGCCCTGTCCTCACTGCCCTGCGCCCTCCCCAGTACCTGGGCCCCCCAGGTCCCTCTGCAGAAGCTGCTCTTCTCGGCCACCCTGACACAGAACCCCGAGAAGCTACAGCAACTCTCCCTCCACCAGCCCCAGCTCTTCTCCTCAGGGCTGGAGAGCCGGGGGCCCGAGGGTGTGGCTGATGACTCCGCGGGGAAGTACGTCTTCCCTGAGGGGCTGCTGGTGAGTTAGGGGCTGGTGGACGGACGGTGGTCAGCTGGGCACTGGGTCTGCCTCCTGGACCAACCAACTCTTCTCCTCCATGTGCAGCATCACTATGTGCCCTGCAGCCTCCGCGCCAAGCCACTGGCTGTCCTTCACCTGGTGCTGACCACGCAGCTCCCGAGAGTCCTCTGCTTCACCAACTCCCGCGAAAACTCCCACAGGTAGGGCTTGGTGGTCTGAGTTCATCTCAGCTGGGACCCAGCTTCCAGTTGGGGCTCAAGGATTGGCTGTAACTAGGTCTGGAAGTCAGGGAGAGACTGTGGGAACCGAGACATGCGGCTGGCGGTGTGAGGAGCTGCCCTGTGGCCTCTCTCCCCAGGCTCTTCCTGCTTGTGCGGGCCTTCGGGGGAGTGAGTGTGGCCGAGTTCTCCTCCCGTCACGGGCCTGGTCACAGGAAGAAGATTCTGAAGCAGTTTGAGCAGGGCAGGATCCAGCTGTGAGTCATGGGGTCTGAGGGGGGGTGGGGAGGGCACAGCTGGCCCCCAGCCTGGCTGTAGCAGACTCCATGTCTCACAGCCTTGTCAGCACAGATGCCACAGCCCGGGGCATCGATGTTCAGGGAGTAGAGCTGGTGGTTAACTACGACGCCCCACAGTACGCGAGGACCTACGTGCACCGGTGCGTCTCCTGGGGTGGTGGTGGCCAGAGGGGGCACATGGTTCCACTTGCCCGGTCTGGAGACCCGACCCTGTGCTTGGTTCCAGGGTTGGACGCACAGCACGAGCGGGACGAGCTGGACAGGCCTTTACGCTGCTGCTTCGGGTGCAGGTGAGCAGCAGGCTGGGCCCAGGGCTGGCTCGGCGGGCAGCCCTGAGCCTCCCAGGACTCTGGAACATGGTCCCGGGTGCCTTCCTCCAGGAGCACAAATTTCTGCGGATGCTGGCCGACGCGGGTGTGCCGGAGCTGGGGAGGCATGAGATCCCCTCGGAGCTGCTGCAGCCGTTGATCCCACGATATGAGGAGGCCTTGACCCAGCTGGAGAAGACTGTCAGGGTGAGGGCCTGTAGGCGCTGAGGCTGCAGCATATGATGAGACATAGACAGGAAGTGGAATGGGAGAAGGGAGGTCTTCCCTGAGCCACTTGACACTTACTGGCAGAAGGATGGGTTCCTGGCGTGGTCAGTCCATGGGTGCTGTGGTGGCTACGGTACCAAACCTGGCTCAGGGCCGCCTGACCCTCCTCCTTCCTGCAGGAGGAACAAAAGCAGAAGAAAGCCTAGCCTGCCTGGCTCCCGGGAGATGACAACACTGATGTGTGCAGAGGATCGATGGATTGCGCCTTCTGCGGACATGCTGAGGCCTCTGTAACCAGAGACTAGAGCGACAGGCGCTGCACTTTCTGGACATAGAACCCAGTGGGGTTTGTCACGTTTGGACGAGTGCTTACCTTGAGTTGATCTGGAAAATCATTCTTTTTATTAAAGCCCCACTTGTTTGTCTTGTCAGGTTGGTGGGGGGGTGGTTCGTGGCATCTACACCTACTGCTGGTGCCCCAAGGCCCCAGGGAGATGACACAGAGGCTCCGACTCATGAAGGTATTTCTGCGATTACTGGAGTGCAGCCAACAAGAGCAGGTTTTGTTTTTGTTTTGTTTTGTGTTTGTGAACTGAATGAAGGTTTACAGAGCAGATCATGGGTTTTACATCCAACAAATCCTACCACTGTTGTTATAGTGATGTAACAGTGCTTATCTGGAACTGTTGCATTCCTCCCTGTGTCTTCCAGGACCTTCATCTTTGCCTTTGCCAACCTCCCTCTTATCTACTGTCTGCCCTGACATTGAGTTTTCCTGTGTCTGCTGTGGTGCTGTAAGATAAAGCACTGCCCCACAAGGTTGGTTTGATCTGTGAGGTTGCCGGTTCAAACCCACCAGCCAATCCTCAGAAACTACACACGGAGTCCTGATGTGATACCGTGGGTCAGTATGCTGGACTCCAAAGTCACTTGAACCGCAGTGTCGGCAGTTCAAGCTCACCAGCTGCTCCTCGGAAACCCTACAGAGGTTCGCTATGGGTCAGAACTGACTTATCAAGAAAACCTTTCACTTTTCCCCCAACAGAGGTCTTATACAATATCTGTCCATTTTTAATTGACTAATTTCACTCAGTATATTGTTCTCCAGGCTCATCCACGGTTCTATCATTTAACATAGTCTTTAACGTAATACATGGCATGTATGTACCAAAGCTTGTTTAACCATTTGTTTGGTTGTGGGGCAGTTAGGCTGCCTCTGTGTGTTTGCTGTGTTGTGAATTGTGTTACGACCAAGTAGAGAGATTGCTAGGTCATTCAGTGTTTGCTTTTGCAACTTTCTGAGAAAACGTCAACCGTTTTCCACAGCAGCTCTGCCGTGTTACAGTCCCACCAGCGTGTAGGGGAGTTCCTGTCTCTCCACACACTTGCCAGCATTTGTTGTTGTTTTTTGAATTTTGGTATAAAGCTGGTGTAAGATGATGACATCACATTGTTTTGATCTGCATCTCTAGGATCACACAAGGTTGATTTGGAGATATTTTTTCCATATTGTGTTCTGTGTGTATGAGATCAGGTTGGCTGATAGCTCTCTCTCGTCTCGCTGAGTGGGTGAGTCAAGGGTATTTATTGGTCCAGCGTATATGGTTGGTGTCAGGTGGTGGTGTCTGGACTCAAACCTCCCTATCATTCTTAGAGGTTAACTGCTTAGTCAGCCTTTAAGACCCCCATGCAATCTTGTAGGTGGCTGTGACCTTTAACTTGGGAACTAGTGTGGAGGAAGGTCACAGTGGAAAACAAATCCATCTACATACTTCGCATTGCCATTGGCTGTTGTTAAAGTGTTCCGACTCATAGTGAACCTGCGTAGTGTATTGGGTTTCTGAGGAGCAAATGTATAATCTAATACTCTCTGGCAGCCAAGTAAAAATACCAGGCAAGGGAGAGCTGTAAGGCCAAGCAGCTGTGCAGTGTACTTGGTTGGCCCTTCTATGCTAACAGTTGTAACGTGGTACTGGATATAATTGAAAAGGTAGATGGTCTTTAAACCTACCTGACTTTGGGTGTTCCTGCTACATGGCTGTCATCTTGTGTTGGGAGGATCAGAGTGGCATCTTAATGAGACTCCAAGATGCCGCCCAGGTGGCCAAACAAGTCAGAGGTGGTCCCGTTTTGGCGACTTTGCAGTTACAAGAGGACACTGGAAATCAAAAGCAAAGTTATTCAACAGAATCGACTTGAGGACAGTTAACATAGTCTGAAACAAGTGGCTTATTTGGCAATAACAGTATCAGTAACCCATTGAGGCCCGTCCTGCCCCAAGTCATTCTCAGTATCTGCGAGGTCACTTTCTACCTTCTGTGTTAGCATCTTTACAGTAACCCGTGAGATGACCCTTACCACCCGCCCATGAAGCAATCTTCACGGTGGAGTCGGTTCTGACCCACAATGACCCTGCATAGGGTTTCTGAAGCTGTGAATCTTTTCAGGAGCAGAAAGCGTCATCTTTTTCCTGCGGAACAGATGGTAGGCTCGAACTGCCGACCTTGAGGTTCGCAGCCATTCTTCACTACCAGAGCTCCTTGCAATCATGAATCGTGTTTGTTAAGGACTCAGACTCATTGCCACCCTGTATAGGTTTTCCAAGGAGTGGCTGGTGAGTTTTCACCACCGAACTTGCGCCTCAAACCGACTTTGCAGTGTTTTATCCTAAGGTGCCACATCTCGTGGGTCAGACCTGTAAGTAAGTACAGATTCTCCTTCACCCAGTAGGATCGCCATAGTGAAAGAGACACTAACCACGCATCTGTGAGGGTTCTTTTCCTAGAGCACTAACTAGCAAGGAGCTCTGGTAGCGTAGTGGTTACGAATCGGGCTGCCAACCGCAGGGTCAGCTGTTCCGTGGGAAAAAGATGAGGCATTCTGCTCCCGTAAAGATTTACAGCCTCAGAAACCCTGTGCAGGGTCACTATGGGTCGGAACCGACTCCACGGCACATAACAACAACAACCACCACAACAAAGTACCAGGTGTTCGGTTGTAGGCCACCAGACTGTTTCCTCGGAGATCTAGAGAGAAGGGACACCATACCCTAACCTTGCCTCATTAACCAAACCAAGCCCATTCTCCCAAACGAGTATATCCTAGTGACCGTGGGAGGCCACTCGCTCATCGGCGCAGGGCTAACATTGCCCCCTCCACACCCCCTTCAAACCTGGCTCCTGGACTGCAGGTCCCAACCACCCCAGATAAGTCAGGAGAGTTAACTCCCCCACCCCAGAGCTGGAGGCTTGTTATCATGGCTTCAAGTGCTACCTGAACTCCTGGGTGAAGCTGGTGACCCTCCACATTGGGTCTCCCTGCCACACAAGGACAGGCATCCCTTGTTGGGTAGGATCCCTCGACAGCCACGCCAGTTATCTGCCAGGAGACACGTCTGTTAGCCACAGTCCCACGTAGCCATCCATCCCCCAGTGTACAGAGTGCGCAGTGCCTGGGAGCCATGCACTCTCTCTGTACCTGGGCAGCTCTGAAGGATGGGATGCCTGCAAGTGCTACCAATTCCAACCGAAATCTCTAGAGAGCTTTATGGGTTCTCAAGCCCAATGCTCCTTAAGTGGACTTACTTGGCTGGGGAAATCCATTTCCCCAAATGAGATAGATTTCATTTTCCCTTTGCACCGCCAAAGCGCTGCAGCTGATGTGTTCTGCCAGCCACACTATGAACCCAAAGCACCCAATGTTTCTAGACAGGTCAAGGTGGAACACTGGTCTACAGCGCCCACAGCAATGAAGGATCATTATCACAGCTCAGTTCCTATCGGGTTGATAAAGCGGGGCTAGGAACGGTCAGTACTGAGAAAACATGAAGGTCTGAACAGTACAAATCCTCTAGGGCAAGTGCAAAATTCTTACCTGGACTCGTGCCCCGGCGTTGTAGGAGAAGATCAGCAGTTCAAACCCACCACCAAATGCTCAAAATCCCTCTACCGGGTGACCACGAGTGAGCTCCAACTTGACAGCACTTTGCTCCCCAGTGTTCTTCTGACCTGGTTGGCGGAATAGCTGGCCGTGTCCATCTGGAAGGGAACTTACATGCCATCAAGTCGGTTCCAACCTATAGTGATGGTGATAGGGTTTTTGAGGAGTACCTGGTAGCTTTGAATTGCCAACCTTATGGTTCAAACTGACTTTGCAGTCCAGTGCATTATCCCGCAGACATACTAGAACTAGACATTGGAATTCTGTTGGTACGAGCCAAGTAATCTCTGGGAGTACCAGAAGATTATGGACGATCCTTCTGCTTTCTCCAGACTCCGGAGAGAAAACTTCTAGTCTGTGAACTACGCAACAAGAAACTGCTTTGAGCTGCATAATGTGCAGTGATGTCTTACAGGAGCCCTACGAACCAAGACGTGCTATATCCTTACTACCCCCCCTTCCTGCTTCACTTGAAGGGAAATAAATGCCCATGTTGCACCAATCAAATAATACCATCAACTTGGCCCTTATATGAACCCCATAGGGTTTCCAAGGCTGTCCCCTTCCACCCATGCTGCTGGGTTTGAACTGCTGACCTTGAAGTAGCAGCCGAACCCTTGAAACATGGCACCAGCAGAGATCCAACGTGGGCCTCTTGACACAGCCCCTTAGGCAGATGAGCTGGCTGCTGCAGAACGGGTGGGAACAATGCTGAGTGGTCTCTCAGGAGAAGCTGTGCTGTGCCGATTCCACTCAGGAACAGCACCAAGCCCTGCTCCCAGGTCCCTGAGGGAACACAGGGAGATGTGCTGGCCCCACCCCCTACCCTCCACC